CAGCTTCACTATGCCAAATTCAACCTTTGTGTAAGTAGGAATGACTCCAAACAAGTATAAGAATCACTCATTATTACTAGTATTAATGGAGCTGAGTTTGGCTCTCCTTGCATGTGCCATTTGGAATAGTTTATTTTTCACATGAGGTTTGGCAGGGATTTCTCTAAAATAATTTCCCTCAGAACCCACCCTCAAATCCAGCCTGCAAATTTCAAAACATCTCTGCTTCCTAAGAACAGCTTTTTAGAATACAACCCAATCTGAAGCCTTTGTCACACAGAGTTAAGTAGAGACCATAAAAAGTTTTTGATTGGTGAGCTAATCGTGCATCCTCATAAAGCACTTCAGATCACGTCAATTAATGTGTTGTAAAAACATATACTCAAATACTTCTGATCCAGAATTTTCAAAGCAATTACATCTTAAGCCATTGTCTTTTTCTTTCTTTTTTTCTTTCATTTTTTTAATTTGATGTTTTTACTGACTAATAGTCTGTGGGCTCAAAGTCTTGGATTCACAGCAGTTTCTGCTATATGGTTTCACAAAGTACATAAAATTATCACTTCTCCCATTGCACTAGAAGACAGGAATGTTGTTATTTTGGAAATTGGAATTTTGGTTTCTAACCATGATCCAACACAAATGTTAGTGTGATTTGGGAACCCAACCTATTTGACATGCAGCATCCTGAACTCGGAATGAATTGATCACGAAAAGTACAAACAAATCCTTATTCATCCTGAACATAAGCACAGAACCCCTTGACACAGTATGGAAAAATAATACAGTCCTAAACATTCCTTTCTTTTTTCTTTTTTTTTTTCTTCTGTTTGATTCTTAGGCTTGGCTTCCTGCCACAGTAAAGTAGTTGGCCTATACACAGACAGGCAGAATTCTTCTTTTGTACTCTCAACTGGGAACTGACAAAACTCAGTACATTACAGATTTGTTTCAATCAAAATGTTCACAGCCAGAACCCAGAGGCAGATTTTCTTACATCTTTAGGCTACTTATCAACTTACAAACCTGATTTGCAAATAAAAAAGCAACTCTTAGAGCCACTTAATATGTAGTTTAGAACAATGAAGCTGATGTGGCCACTAACAGGTGGAGAATTATTTGCAGTGTGGCCTGTGTTACTCGTACTGCTCGAATGTACACAATAAGGATAGAATTTCAAGAATTTACTGCCACCCTGAAGGAAAGAATTGATGTTAAATAACTGGATTTGTACAAAGTCTGTAAGACAATCCAACTAAATCCTCAAATACACGATTAATTCCTCATTATTTAAATGTTCTTAAATAGAAGAGTACATGCATACTTTGTAGCTTATCTTGACATCTTCCTCTCTATTTCTCATGATCTGTTACTACACTATGACTACAAATCCCTGAAAAAAACTGTTTCATGAAAAGAATCTCCAACTCCTAGGGAGATTGCCTGCATTTTTGCAGCTTACTCTAGTTCTCTCAGCATTTCACCGATACTGCAGTATCCAGTAATACACATACAGACATATTAAGCTTTTTTTCCTGTAGTCCCAATGGATTTAGGATTAGATTTCTATAGAATATTTTCATGATTGCTTTCACTATTTATGTTCTGCTAAGACATCAACATGTACACACATCTGAACTCTGTCTTCAGGTGATTACTTTCCAAAAGACATCCTAAGCGTCAGAAAATTTTAGGGCAATCTCACAACTGACAACAACAGGTATCCTTTTTCCCAAACAGCATTTACACTGACCTTCACCCTACCCTTCGGTCAACTAGATCTAGCTGGGGTTTACTTTAAGCCCTGTGATCCACTCTGTGAAACTATGCCCATCGTTTTTCTAGTTGTAAATATGAAAAACAAGGCGGGGGAGGGGGGGAGGGTGAGAGGTTGAGGGGGAAGCAGGTGCAAAGGAGTCCAAAGGATGCAAAACTCAGCAACAAACCAAAGCACAAAGAAAGTGGAAATGAATTTTGAAGGATCTGACTGTATAGCACAGACAGCGCTGTATACACGTGTCTGTTTATGGAGACACACGAAACTGAATTATTCAGTTACTTAGAAGAAGAACAGACTGTGGGGAAGGGAGAGCAGAATGAAGGCGCAAGAGAGCAAAAAATTCATCCAGCAACAGATGAGAGGAACAGAAGAGGACTGGAAAATGGATACATGGTGGGAGAATGGATGATGAGAGAATAGCAGTCCTATTTAGAATGAATTTTTGACCTTATTTTTAAACATTTATGGATCCCAATTGCCTGTCATGAGATCATTTTGCCTTACAATGCTGGCTTTTTAGTCAGCTTTGCAGTTTAACTTGATTTATCCCACTTAAAAAAAAAAAAAAAAAGTAGATTGTTAGAAATACCCCTTCTATTAGAAATTCTGTCCCATTACAGTGTCAGCTAAAGGCCACTTGTCAACGTCAGCTTTATCAGATGGAGATTTGCCCCATGAGTTCTCAAATACTTTTTTGGAGGACAAGACCCAGCGTCCATTTCTGAGGCTGCTGATTTGTGACAGGATAGCGTCTTCTGAAATTATCCTCTGTTATTTCCCAACTTATCTGCATGTTTTGTGAGATAGTGAGTAGTGATTACAGCAGCTGCTGTACATTAGAAAGAAATCATACAGAAAAGCTGGCTTAGGTAATACAATTGACAGACAAAAACAAAGAATGAACGAATTGAGTATTAAAAATATATACAGAGATCCAGGATCTCCTTTCCAGCTGCAGCTTCCCTGGTGACATTGCCTCCCGTGTGAAGCAAGAAAAACCTGTACCAGAAGGTATTCCTCCTCTTCAGCTGTCTACTGATTCTTTAAAGAAAGATCTGATGTCCTGAAGTTTTTATTTACAATTATGCAATTAGTCATCAACATGTTTCTTCACTGATTGAATAAAGATGGAAAAAATCAGCTGGTGTTCTGTCTGTATCACACTGTGCTTCTCAGGGTCAGCAGCCTGAGGCGGGTGACATGACATTGCTTACAAAATATCTTGAGGACTTTCCAAGCAAGATGCTTTGAGACATTTGTTTTACTTTGAATATTTAGATCCTAATTTTTATCCTTTGTTTTTGTTTGAATGGATTGATGTAACATGTATTTTAACAGTAAAATCACATGTAGGAGTAGAACTGAAGAAATATCAGCCAGGAGTCAGAAGAAAACAAGCTGTGGCCACAGTATTATAGAGACCAAAAGACTGCCTGTGAAAGCCTGGCTGGGAGGATCAATGGATGATATTGTTGCAACGATGAGACCAGAAGTCTTTGAAATTTGTAAACCACTTCAACGAGAGAAACTTGCAGCAACAAACTTCAGTGCATTAAAGCCCTTGAGGTAAACTCCCATTTTTAAGCAGACTGCAATTCCTCACAACAAAAAGTGTTTAAAAATATTCTGTATTTGAAGGACGAAAAGAAACAATCCTGGTGCCACTATTATTAATCAGTTCAAGATTGAGATACTCAAAGCTCCCTTTCAGCTGCTCTGATTAAGGACAACTTGCCTCATAGGAAAAGTAAGGCTTTGGAAATCAGTAATCTTGGGGTATTATACCTAATAGGAAAGGCTTAAAAAGGATTACCTGGAAGAAACCTTTATGAATCTTAGGAAACTACACTGGGCCATAAATATCAGCCTTCTCTGAGGATTAATAAAGCTTTATCAGTTTCAGATAAGAAGTAAAAAAACCTCAGTCTGCTGAAGAGGTACCACTAGGCCAGTCCAGGTTCTCAGTTCAGTTTACAAAAGCTATTCAGAAGAAGAATGGCAAATTCAGGTCACACAATCTAAGGCAGTAGATTGAAGTTAACCTCTCAAAGAAAAGAATTACTTCACTGAAAGTGAATTTTTCAGCAACTGATTCAGAATAATATATATTTTTTCCTTGGGGAGGGAGGGAAGTGGGGTTAATGGACAAATAAGGACAACGATTTACGCAAGCACAGCCCCCTCTGACCTTTATCTATGTGATTGCAATAAAGTCTATAGTGTCACATAGGTATTGCTTTGTCTATAATCCCAATCACTGAAGATTTCATTTCAGATTTTGTACCAATAGTTTGGAGTACCATTAAAAACAATGTTAGCTCAAAGCCCAGGTGTACTTAGATTTTTAAGATTTTTAATATATCATGCCTCTTTTTTAACTCAAATTTCAAATTTAGCATACATTGCACCGTATCATTTTTGAATGCCAGTTGATTATAATTACTTGTAAAGAGAGTCCAACTCTGAAATCTGTTCAGGTGGAGCTCATGAGTGCCATAATTGTCATCCCATAGACTACAGCTGTTGCATTTATTTAATACATTAAAAAATCTAGCACTCTTGACTTAATTTCTGGTTCTACCACAGGTTACACTTCAGCAATGAGTAGATAACACGTCTTCGTGTAGTGAGAGTCCTACGTGTGTAATCAGGAATACAGTATGCCTGTAACATTTGACCACTATAACAGTATAGTGGTAAAATATTTTAAGATCTTTTGATGGAGTAGGAGCAAATTATTCCATTTTTCACCTTACGGAAGTGACTGAGAATGTATCACAGCCAGATTGCTATTGTCCTGCAAGCAGAAAGAAGGGCAGGGTAGACATGCCTGTACTTCCTCCCTCTCATTTTGCATAGGTAAGCACAGTGAGAGTCTGTTCTTCCAATGCTGTCATTACCCCACGGAAACACCTGCTGAAAAGCCTTGATGCTATCACATGTGACAAAGTTTGGCAAGGACTGCATACCTTGGACCTCAGGAGAGAGGAAGCCCGGACCTACACCAAAGGCAGTAAACAAACACAGCATTCTCAGCCAAGTTTTCATGTTATCAGTGTTTGCTTGAGGTAGAAGAGTTGGCATTAAACATTTCTCCATTTCCGTAAGCCCCCCAAATTCATGATAAACTGACACAGGATATCTAGAAAATACAAATAAATCAGTTTCTTCTGCAAACCCTGAACATGCAAGAGCCCTGTGCAGCATATTGTGGACATACCCAACGGTGGTCGCAATCAGACAGCTGTGTTCGTCCTTCATCGTCCTCATAGAAAGGCAAGCCCTCCCGCCTGGCCTGATGGTACTCCTTCCGTAGCTTCTGGATTCGGTCAGCATTCCCACCACCTGCACAGCCACTGAGAAAGATAAAAGATGCTAAATAAAACTCGTATATCTACACAAATTAAAACAATGTTCAGATACCCACATGAGCGCACATGCAATGCCCACACCTGATACAAATGGACTGTGAACATTGGACTCTTAATTTCCATAGCGCCCGCTGGCTCACATCAGCCCTATTTTTGCCTTCCCATATTAAAAAACTCTTAATTGCGAATTTGATCCCCCTTTTTAAAAAAGGCTGTCCCTGTCCAAAGAACTTAACAATCCCAGCACAAGACAAGAGACAACAGATGGATGCAGACAGATGGGGGAGCACAAGGAAACTTTTAACATTCCTATGAGCAGCTATAAATGGCTATCATATTTTAATAATAATGATGATGATAAGCTGCCAGGAAAACGTTCCCTTTTGCTCCCATGCAAAATGTGGAATTTCCCTAAAATTACATTTGTTCAAGGTAAAGAATAGACAATACTCACGGAGAAGCACAGAAAGAAGTTTTATCTCATAAAAAACAACCTCGCTGCCAACTATAGTAAGAACTAAAACATCAGCCATGAATACAGAGGTGAGGCGAAAGAGATGGGAAAGCACACTACTGAGTTTTGACACCATTTTTTAAGGGTAGTAATTAATCAGTAACTTCACAAAGACTCAATTCTATGCTGGAAACACTGCAAGCTGCCTTGGTAAAGGCTAGCGGAGTTGCTTATCAGAAGGATTAAAAAACAATCCTGAAAATCCCTAGGAATTCTAGTAAAATAAAATACAGGCACATGAAAATGAATAAATTAAAAGCTTCTCAGACCTATTTCCAGCCCTACTCTAGCTACTGGAAAGCACACTGTCTGCGTTGCTCAGTAGCATTTACTGATGTTCAGAGGGAATTGTAGAATTTCTTTGTGGCAACTTTAAACTCACACTGCTGTTGTTGCAGCACGTATTCATACATTCTCTTAACCTCAGCTTCATCACACCTGTAAGCAGCTACAGAGTACAGACTTATTCACTTGAGCTCTGCAGAACATCTTGTCACACTGTACTCCACTAAGAGCTGGCCAGAATCTAGGTAAGCCTTTTGTATGTACTGCATAGCAAACTGAATTTGGAAAGTACATAGAGAAGACTAGACATAAAGCCATCAGTTAAATAATACATATTTTCTAATAGCAAACAGCAATCTAGAATAGTGGATAAATTACTTTTGAAACTAATTATGAATGGAGGGGAATCCCATGTAGGGTGCAAGTGCAACAGAGTATGCAGGGCTGGAAGTGTTTCCTGGCAGCACCAGTGTGTTTCCACAAAAAATCAAATGATTAAATTACTTGTCTTCCCCAGATCCCAAGCTACCCAGCCCCTCTATTCTACAAAGCCCCTGAGGTTTCAAGCTTCTCTGGCTGACTTACTGAGCCCTTCCAGAACATTGGACATTTTTCTTATCATCTGCTGAGACAGTGCGGAAAGCTTGCACAAGCATCGTGGAGTATTGAAAAAAACCACCAGTACATTCCCTTTTCCCTATGATTCTTTCCATGAATTGTTGTCAAATAGCAGAGAACCATCTCCAGTTTGCAAAATACTCAAACTAAGGACTAGCTAATTGGGGATATCACTTGTGAACAGTGAAGCTTGGCCCACTGTGAGCAATACAATACCTGTGAAATCGCCAGACTTCCCTTGTGACTATAGATAAAGACTTTAATTATAGCTGGTAGCACGCAGATAAGGCCCAAAATGCAATGCTGCTCCTGTTGCTTTACCAATACCATTACCTAAAGCTGCTTTAGCTAGGAGAAGGAAATGCTGAGATCCTCAACAACATGGCCAGTTTGATGAGCTGAGCTGGCTCCCTGCAGGTCTCTGCAAATGGAATCAGCATCTGTGGCCGGTGGCCTGAAGGTCACACCCCCCCTTCTACCTCCAGGTATTTTGGCTTAAGTAAACTTGGGTAAACTGAAAATACTGTAAGTTTTTGTGTTTTGTTTTTTTTTTTTAAATGAAATTTGAACGTGACTGACTCATTCCAGCAAAATGTCAAATATTGTGAGAGACAGTAACAGCAGCTTGTGCTCCATTTACTGCAGATCTCCCATAGGTGAACTTCCCTCTGCTTAGACTCATCCAGCCAGCAAGTAGGTATGGATCTAACATAGAAATCAAGCTGATTTTTCATGTATATATATTTATATGTATATATATTTTATATGTATACATGTATATGTATATACAGCTTTGTCATGGGTGACCCCTCCTATACCACATAGTAAGTACAGAACCTCATTATGAGCATAAGTAGTAACATTTGAATGAAAGACAGCACCACATGAAAAGCATAATCTCTGTACAAACAAGCAGCTCTGTGAAACCTGATTTCCCTGTGAGTACTCCAGTGTCCAGAGATGGGACTGAGTTCACACTGAAAAGCCTCTCCCCAGCACAGGCATTCATCCGGGCCCCCCCAAAGCAGGCTGCTCATTTTCATGAAGATTACACGCTTTCTATCTTTTGAACATCTAGTCATCTGTCAAATCTGGTCAGAACTGGCCAGCAAGTTCAGAATTTGATAGGATGGTGGGAGTAGCAGATCAGAAGGGGCCATCAGCTTCATTTTTTCAAGAAACAGTTAAAATGCCACATCTAATTTTTTTCTCCATCACCGTTTATAAGCACAAATGCAAAAGACATTGGCTGTTGAAAGAGCTGCATATCTAGCTTACCATGAAAGTTTTACCCACTCCTGAGAAATGCGAGATGAATATGATGCCCTGTGCATGGCTCATGAAACAGTTCTGAATTTCAAGTTGGCTCCTGACAATTATGTGAATATATGAACCACATTCGAACTCACCAGATGAATTCAATCAGCACTGTGCAAATATCGCATACATAATCTATTAGTTTACCCCAAAGAAACTGAAGCATTGAATTCAAACAGAATGAAGTCATCAGTAATAAAAAAAAAGAAACTGATAAGGCAATATTAAAAAAAAAAACAAACCACAACACAATTTTCCAAGATTTGCAGAGAAGATCATACATTGACTGTAAACTATTCTCCCATCTGCCCGTAAATGCATAATTAAAAAATATTGGTTTGATCAGATAGCAGTTCTCAGACGGGGAAACAGCAAATGAATACCGGTTCAAACGTTTAGGATGCATGACTACTTACAGTGACAGCAACCTGAACTTACGGAAGAAAAATAAAAACAACACTCCAACCAAAGTCAATTTATATTAAGGAGACTTACTGAAGCTTTTATCCACCCTAGTAAGCTCCGCAGACAGATTTCTTTTACGGCAGCTTTACATTTAATGCAGTGCTCCCTCCTTTAGGAGATATAAATATCACAGCCCTCATGGTATCTACAGTAGTGCACAACTCACCATCCTGACAGGGCTCCCTGCACTATGCAGTCTTTAGAGAGCTGCACAGCCACACAGGTGCCACTGGTCCCAGCACGCTCCCAGCCCCAGTCCAGACTCACAGACTTCTCACCCCCCATTTTCCCCTTCCACATACTGCAAGGGCTTTTCTCTGGAAATACTAATTAAAAAAAAGAAAAGAAAAAAAAAGTGAAAAAAAAATCTCATTTTTCTGCCTTATACCTGAATTTGCCCAAGTCGTGACGTGGGCTTCACCTTGCCCACTGTGACTGCAAGGAGCACTGTGTGAAAGGGCACAGGTGCCCCAAAACAAAATGGAACCTGTACTTGAGCACAGATGTATCGAGAAGCTGTCTTTAACACTGCATAGAATAAGACTGTGAAATTCCATCCCGTCATCTCAGAAGGGCTAGATGGTATTCTCAATACGACAAGTTATTTTTTTCCAAGAACCAAAACATCAGCAGCAGCACTTCATACAGATGGCTCAGGTTGTACACAATAAAATCTCCTCTCTATTCTCCCTCTGAGTAGCTAATCTGGATTTCAATCATTCAGGTTGAAAATGTCATTTTTTAAATTAATGACTTCTTACTGCAGCTCTCTGGATAGCACAAAATTAAAAACAAGTGTTGCATGTACAGACTGCGATGAACCACTTAAAGCTGTATATAAACATACATTTAAAGAGGTAATAAACATTTTGTTTCCAGTGGTTTTCCTAAACCCATTAATATTGCACAGGGCTTTTTTGCCATTCACTTCAATCGCTGATTTCACCCAGCTGACTGTCAGCCTCTCAACAAACTACTTGCGCTCCCATTTTTTTTTTTTAAGAGTCTTTTACTGAATTTTCCATTAACAAGCAAACCCAATTTAATTCACAGACTCAAGAGAATGGACAGTCTTCCATTCATAATTTGCTGTAAAATAAACCTAGCTGTATATCCTGAAGGGAACATACTGGTCTGCTCAGCTATATTGTGGAAGAGAGTCCAACAGAGCGTGTAAGAGAGTATTTCACTCAGGATAAAACTTCATTCTGGAGCTACAACAAATAAACATTCTGGTACGTTACTCTATCAATTCCAGCCCTTGTCTTCCTACTCTGTTTATGAAGATATTTCTGCAACCTCAATAGTAGGGAGGAATAAAAAGAACGGTGGAAACTGACAAAAAGAAAATGATAAGACTGTAATTCTACAGTACATCAGCTTTCATCTTTGTCAACCACTGAGTTGAGTTGAGGGAGTTTCGGAAGAAATGAACATTTGCTTATATGCACTTGAGTAAATGAACGATTCTGCAATAAAAGCCCTGTCAGACATACCTTGTTGGCACCACTGACATTGCCTTGTAAGTCTGGAAATCACCTGATATTCAGGCAGGGCCAGTCTGGGTTACAGCTATGCACACCTAGCTGGGGTTCCAGTTCAAGAGCCATGTCTCTCTAGTTACTGGATCCATGCAAATGATTTTATTGGTCTCCACAACACTTGCTTTCTTGGTCTGGGCAGGAATGTACTCTGTGCATACCAATTATGGACTTTATCAGTGTCAAAGGAGCTCTAGCAGGACACTCGACTAGGAAACCTGTGCAGAGCAGCTGGAAGAAAGACA